ATACTGGGTTCCTACTTAAATAATCTGCTTCTATATTGTCTTTTCCCGGAGCGTATTTAATTTTAAAATCATACTGTGATAAGTAATATGTTAAATCTCCTAATTCTTCATCTGTCCTAGACTTTATATTTAAATTTTCCCAATGGCTTATGGTCGGAATATACTGTAAACGACTTACCTATTAGCCAATATTGCCAGTATCTTATTGCTTCTTTAATAGCTAAACATTCTAAATAAACTGCATTTTTTTTCTTTTGAACTTGATTTAATTTTTTTGAGAAGTATGCCACTGGCTTATTTTTTCCATTTGGTTGTGTTTGCTTTAACACTGCCCCAATACCTTCTAAAGATGCATCTGTGTGAATATTAATTGGCAAATTTTGATCAAATATCTCTAAGATTGGCTGTGAGCACAATAAGTTTTTTATGTTTTCAAAAGATTTCTGACAATCTGTAGACCAAATAAATTTCTGGTTTTTTCTAAGCAAATTATGAAGAGGTTCCAAAATTAATGCACTTTTAGGTATATACTCATGATAGAAGTTAATTTTACCTAAAAATTGCCTAAAATTGTTTTGAGTCTTTGGTATGGGGAAATCTTTTATTGATACTAAATTATCTCTTACTGGCCGTATTGTATGATTATGTAGTATATGACCAAGATATTTTACTGAATCCGAAGCAAATATACATTTCGTAAATTTTAGTCTAAAACCCTCCTTTTTTATAGCTTCTAACAATTGTGTTAGATGATTAATGTGCTCTGAGAAAGTCTTAGAAAAAATTTGGATATCATCTATGTAGTTAACTGCAAAATCAGTAAGCTTATACCTTCTTAAAATGTTGCTTAGTATCCTTTGGAAAATCGCTGGTGAAGTCTTCAATCCAAAAGGCAAACATGTCCATTGAAAATGCCCTTCCTGCGTTACAAAGGCAGTTCTTCCTATCTTCAATTCTTAGTGGGATAGACCAGAAGGCTGAATTGATGTCCAATGTTGTGAAATATTTTGAGTTTCTTGTCTTAATCACTAGGTCGTCTATCAATGGAAATGGTTGAGCTTGGGGTACCACTATTTTATTAAGATCTCTAAAATCTATACATAATCTTGATTTTTTGTTCTTCTTTCTTAAAAGCCAAAGTAACTGGTGCCGCAAATGGGCTATAAGATTCCTCTATAAGATTTTTATCAAGTAACCTAGCAATTTGTTATTCTATTTCCTTTTTGTCTTCAACTGAACATCTATAGGGCCTCTTACAACAATATTTGTCCAAAAGTAGATCAATACGTGCTTCATATTCTCTAACCATACCAATGTCATATTTGTCTCTTGCAAAGGTTGATTTGTAAATGTCGATCAGTTTGTATACTTCTGACTTTTGTTTAGCATCTAAATTACTCATACTTATTTTGAAATCTTCTTCTTTTATGTGTTCATTAAAATTTATTGACCATGGGTTTGTTTCATTTTTTACTTCCTTAGAAGTGTTATTTTTATTATCGTACTCGTTCATAGAATCTTTTTTTTCTTGTAGTTTTATTTCTTTTCTTTTTTGAGTGATGTTCAAATTCTCATCTTGAATAAGTCTTAACTTTTTTATAATATCCAGTCCAATTAGAAAATCATATTTAAATTCTTCTCCATCAATTAAATAAACATCAGTTTCTTCTTCAATATCAATTTTTTTTATTTTTATTGTTGTCAAACCAATTGTTTTCTTAACATCATTAATTGTGATTAAATTATCACTTCTTAAATCATTCTTCTCTTTTCCTTTCAATCTTATTAATTTGGAATTAATTATAGATACATTTGATCCTGCATCATATAATCCAAATGTTTTTAATTTTTCATTTAATAATAGTTTGACTTTAATTAATGGTGTTATTATTCGTTTTTTTTATCATTATTGAGTTCAACATCAATCACTGAATTGTTTACGGTTTTACTATCTCTCTTATGATTACTCTGTTCTGTCTGTTTGAACCAACATTTTTCCTCTGGATGGAATCGAATACCTTTATTTAAATTTTCACAAGTTCTACATGGTTTTATTTTATCTGCCTTGCCTTTATAATCGTAAGTATATTTTTTATACCTGCTAATATTATTTTTGTTCGCTACATGTTCATGTTTCCCAATTTCATTGTAAAGGCTTGCAGTTGATTTTACTATTTCTTTATCAATTTTATCAACAATATAATCTGGTAATCCCATTACAATAAGATGTATCATTGTTTGGGTGTCGATATGCTTATCTACCTCTAATAGCAGTCTTTCCTTTTTGGTTGCATATTCTAGTAAAGATCCAGCTTGAAATCTAAATGTAAATGCATATTTTACTTGGGACCAACCTTTATTTCCAAATGTTTCACAAAAGTTATCTTTCCATACTGCCCATTCGGAATTCACTGTCAATTTTATTAACATACTACTATACCAATCAAGACACTGTTTCTCGAGGAGATGTTTTAAAATCTCAATTTTCTCTTCATTGTGTATAATTTCGAATCTCCCACATTCATTCTCAAATTCACTAATCCATTGGTCAGCATTTATTGTTTTATTTGAAAATTTTTCTATCAAAAATCTATCAGCAATTTTTCCTATGTTTTTCTGTTCTAGTGCACTGCTATTAGTGTTGTTGTTTGAGGAAATTGCTTCTCTTTTAATCTCATCTAAATACTGTTCGCCAAACTGTAAATTTTCACCTTCATCCAGATATATTTCCTTCAAATCACTATTTAGAGGGATCCAGACTGTGCGTGACTGATGTCTTTTTTTTAGTGAATTTTTGATCTTCGTATATACATTGGAAGATAATATAGCAGTGTGCTTACTTACAGGCCTTAACTCACCTGGGACTTCAAATACACGTCCGTCTGGTGTCTCAATATAGGTTATGCATATGACATTTGTTTTTCCATCCGTTGACCCCATTAGTACAAATTCAAATAGTAGTTTCTCCATTTTTCTGGATTTAACTAGACGTTAGAACTAAATGTCGTTTTATAAGATTATATATCTTTTTATATGGAATTGAAAATAAACAATTGTGTTTCTCTGAAAACAAGGATATTTATTTTATTATTAACACACTATACTAATTACATTATTCTGAACCTAAATAACAATATAACAATACCTGAAAACAAGGAAACGACATTAAAAGTTTATTATAAAATTATCAATTCCTTTTTACAATTTCACAATCAAACAATTTATTAAAAACGATGACTTTTCACTTGTCAAACTGCTTCTTCCAACCAAGATGGCTGATGGCGTCATCTAGTACAAATTTCATATCGAAGAAACATGCAAGTTTCTTTACATATATATGTATGTATGCTACTATTAGGATAGTAAACAAATTATGAAAGTACCGACTGCAGAGCCATCTGCCAGGCTGATTTGTGAATCAAAACCATCCAGGGCTTCACACAAACGCATAGATAGAATTATATATGTCAAATTTCAATTACTAGATTTGACCTAATCAGGACAAGCTAAATAAAATCGTTTCATAAAATGTACTGTGCCATTATTACTTTTAGTTGAAATAATAAAAATTAATATAAAAATATTAAATAACAGCAAAGGTGACATTGTCTCACCACGAGATATCACCCGTCCCTAACAAGATACGCCACAGTAAGTTATCAACATGACACTTTTTGTCTCATTCTCTCCAAACAGGTCCTACATTGAATCGAGAAGGACAACCGCTTAAGTCTGAGCATTAGTCAACCTTGTACAATTATAGGGGAACACCGACCCTTCTAACGAAGACAGTATTAGGGTTTGAATAAAGAGAATAGTGCATGGTTTGTGAATGTTACAAAACAGTGTACTACTTATAGACTTATAGAGTTTTAATACGTTACGAAATAGTCTTCATTTTAACAAAGTTTTAGGGTTATTTTGAGGACTCAAGAATTCGATTAGATATATATGATAGATAGATGAGCAGTGTTGGCCTAGTGGCTTCAGCGTGCGACTCTCATACCTGAGGTTGTAGGTTTGATCCCCGGCTGTGCACCAATGGACTTTCTTTCTATGTGCGCATATAACATTTGCTCGAACGGTGAAGGAAAACATCGTGAGGAATCCGACATGTTTTAGAGTCAAAAAGTCGACGGCGTGTGTTAGGCACTGGAGGCTGATGACCTACTTGCCTATTAGATTTAAAAATGATCATGAAACAGATTCAGAAATCTGAGGCCAAGACCTAAAGAGGTTGTAGCGCCACTGATTTATTTTACATATGGTAGATATATACTTACTCAAATTCACTGACTTATATATTATTAGTAGGAAAGGGTTGAAAATGGCAGTGTTACCTATAAGCACAACTCCTCAACTTCTAGCATCTGTCATTCTGTCATCAATAATTGAAGACGTCCCGAAAGAGAAAATAGTTTTTGTAAAATAAACCTATTTTGGGCAAGCATAACTAACCCGACCGTGGTTTTATTATAAGAATCTATAATTTTATCGCTTTTGCGGCTGGTATATAAATAGCTGTTAAATGTTCACCGTTCTCAAAACTAAACCACGAAAACACGTTGAAGCTATGAAAGTGTTACTTAATAGTTCCACGAAACTCGACAAAAAGTACAAAACTTTTTGACGCCACGACTAATGCGTTGCGTGTAAACGTTTCCATTACTACGATGTATTCGTGACTCGCTCTAATAATTGTAAACTCTTTTTACTCCATGGTGCTGTCATAGCGATGTCTAATTTTATTGATGACAGCCCCGCCTGGCTTATACTATAACTAGCGTTAAAGTTTCCTTTTTTAAAACGTGTAAAAATGATATATTGCGAGTAAAATATTCATATTTTTATCCGTTTTCATTTATTTGTAGATATTTTTTAAGCATATTTATTGACTAATTATAATACAATTTCATACATTATTTTCATTTAGTTTTTGTGAATCTACAGGGTAAATGATACTGTCCTCAATATCCATTTTGGTTATTCCACTTTCATGCATGCTCGTAGGGTACTTTTGGTACTTTTTCCCTCCACTAGTACGTTCTGGTCCTGGTATGTTCGACAAGGCCGCCCCAACCCAACCTCACCATCCACTCATCCACTATCATTGATACCAGTTATTATCCGCTTCAGGTACTTTTTTATATCTATAGTTTTACGACTTAAATCCTATTTGCAAAGAGTAAGCTTCCTATTCAAGTGTAGCCTTTAATTGCATTAATAATCCAGAGCTATAATAATAACTTAGCTTTGTGTCTCCTAATAGTTTTAGCTAGGATAAAGTACGGCTTATATTCTATTATAAATTTTCATTTCTTATACTAATTAAATTATAAGTAAAGTAAGAACTTTATTATTAAGTGACGTTTTTATCGTCCACGCGTGTTGCTTGATAAATAAGTCCTAATTCATTAATCTATATCATAATTACCTATACAACTATAAAGGTATTTAATAGGGCTAAAATTCTATAATCAGTTGTATCAATAAGTATAGGGTATATTTATTAAATAAGAATTTGTGAAAAATGACTATTAAAGCTTCAAAAAGGCCTCTTCCAAATGTTTTTTTATGTCATCTACGTTACGTTATTCTTCTCCCAATTAAAATTCTCGGATTTTTAGAACCATATAAATGTCAAGCTAGTACCAATATATTTCTATAAGATTTTCATCAAAGAAAGATGATGATTTATTATATACAGATATTATTAGCTTCTATTATATATATGCACATATTTATTGATATAATTAATATCTTCTTTAAATACCATAAGCAATTTTAGCCTAGTGTCGCGAGCGTGCGACTACCATTCTGAGGTTGTAGATGTGCACCAAAGTGCTTTCTATGGTGGCATTCATACTTGTTCTTACGCTGAAGGAAAACGTCGGTTTTTTAAAGTTATAATTCTTTAGGCGCGTTATGAAAAATTTATGAGAGTGAAATTTTACGATGCGCGTGCCCGTGACACCAAATTAACAGAATGAAGTTGCCCACGGAAGATGCTACGGCATTGGACATCATTTAAAAACAACATTCGAATAATAATAATAGAATTAATGTTACACTTAATGTAAGAGAATAATAATAAATATTTATTTATTATTTTTCAAATGTAAACTGAACTTTATTGACTATAATGACTCCTTTTCCAGTCTTTGATTATTTAATTGTAATTAATTATTTGCATGCAATCAAAAACTTTTTTTAATAATGCCAAAGAAGTACAACTTCTTACGCGCGTACATAAGTACACGCACCCTTTTTTTGTTTACCAACAAGGCAAAATTAAAATAATTTTAAAAACAGAATAAATTCATGTTATTAAAAAAATATTCTGTATAATTATTCGTGATATATATTTTATGACCTTATGATAAAATCTATTTCGTGTAACAAACAGGTGAAATATTGAATTTGCAAAAGACGTATAAGCAAAATCAGAAATTCACTTTATCCGTTTTCAATTTTCATTACACTCACAGAAAAATGACGTAATGAAATTTCGTTCAACGTTATATTTATGTCTACACTGACTTGTAAAATTCTACGAATACGTGCAAAATCCCGCGTAATCCTTAACCAGGAGTGACACATGACGTAAACGTAGTACGAGGTAAATAAATTACAATTTTGTCCACAGTCACCGTGTTTATTGGGCGAATTCATTTCAAGAAATTTGTTGTACAATTTATACCATTATTTAAATTACTCTTAGTCGCGGTTCGAAAGGTTAACTTGATGATCATTAATCTTCATCTGAAAGTTTTATATATATGTATTCGTTTTAACCAGCTGATCTTTTTTTGTTGTTTGACTTTATATAAAGGAAATATTTGTATAACTGTTGGAGTTTACTCCTTACGAACGATAAAATGGCGATAATTTTCTGTGGTTGTTGACCATATTTTCATACTAAAGGTGGTAAGAATATAATAATATGTTTTTATAATATAAATGTTTGTAGTAGTAATAAAACGTACCTACATCATCTATGCCCAAATAGGATTTTCTTTCTGTGACCAAAGTTACCTTTATAGTAAGAGAAGAATAAGAATGAACAATCTTTTTAGTTTTAATTTCACTGACCATTACTATTGACAAAACTCTATGGCACGCTAGACAATCTACTTTTATTTTTTACACCTGTCAACACTGACAATGTTGTAACGTGGCTGTCAAAACGTTAATTCAAAATAGAAAAGTCTGTGTAATGTATTCCATCTCATTCTTTTACACGTTCAATCCATTTGTCTCTTTCTACATAACGCCTCAACTTTTCGTGTTACACTTGATTTTACTCCTCATAAAATTTCCGTACCGGGCCTTATAACTCAAATCGTTTCTTAAGGAGTAAACTCCAAAAATTATCGGTACATACTTGGGTACAGCATTAGTAGCTAAACATGATGCACAAGTGTAAAAGATTCTTTTAATACGGTATTTATAAATTTATTACATGTAAACATAAATATGAAAAACAGACAAAAAGAATTTCAGATTTTGCTTATACGAAACATCTTGTGAATTCAATGTGGTGACATCGTAGTTTTGATAGTAAATGTATGTATGTATTAGATTTAAATAAAAATATACACATATGAGTCGGTAGAATCAAATCAGCTATGAATATTTAAAATAAAGTGCGTGCGTACAAAGTACACATGTCAAAAGTGAAACTTCTTTGTTAATTAATTATTACTAAGGTAAAAGCTCCAATAGATGACAATGTACCAGTATATGATTACTCCATGTATATGTATATATCTATAATATTATATTAATAATTTAAAAATCTGCGTTTACTGCACAATACGTTATGCGACAAAATTTCCATAAAGTTCGAATGTGCAACTACGTACTAAACAAATACATCATCCAATAGCGTGTATTTTTCGATCTCCCTTTCTCACTCTCTCTCCATCGGTCTCACACGCCCTCACCCTTTTCTTCGATAAAAACGCTGCACATCTTCGTGACGTTTCTCCTAAAGAAGTTTCACTTCAAAAATAGTACAGATATTCCTTGTGAGTAAATTAAAAACATAAATAAAATAACCACAAGGACATAAATAAAAACAAAGGAAATTACGCAAGCCGTCTGCTTATTTGTCTTACCTACATAAAACAAATTACCCATTTAAATCGTTATTACTTGCTTTGCCATTCCACAAAATAATGTTCACGAACCTTTAACTTTAAACAAATATTCCTGCTCAAACATTTTGTATTGACTCAAGACGTAAACTCGTGTGGTTTCTCCCCTTAGAGATGAATTAATTTTGGTTAGTTTTGAAGTATTAATATTATAAATTCATATGTGTGTTTATTGAAATATTCACACCTATAAATTAGATTAGTTCTGCATACATAGTACGTGTTTTGTTTTTTACATGTACGGCCATTTTCAAACGAATATGTTAATATTAATTGACATATTAATCGAATGTAAATAAAGTGTTATTCAATTAAATATTGTTAGCAGAGTGTGATTAAAATTGAATAATCAATTAATAGTTGAATAAGTTTTATTGTTAATATAGCAGAGACGAACGCGCCAATTTAATTTTTAACAATAAAATTATAATTATCTTATCTCATTTTTAATTTCCACATACACTTTCATAACAATGTTATACACAACAGTACATAACTGTTATAGTCGTGTATAACAATGAAAGACTCAAATTTTTTTTAATTTCTCAAATTATTTAAAGTTACTAATTTAATACCTTACCCAAATATTGAGTGCCACGCTCGATATAAATAAAGTGAGTACGAGAGTATAAAAATAACTAATATCATATTATTAATATATTGGTATAAGATACTAAATTTCACTTATCTTTTACAGGTAGCCCCTCATCGTCTGTAACGGGGACGGTGACCAGGGTGTCATCAGTAGTCGGAGGTGAAGCTGAACTGCCTTGTGACTCGCGTCCTCCGCAGAGAAATGACAGCCTTTTACTCGTCGTCTGGTACCGGGACGACAATCCAGTATACAGGTACGTTATTAATATGCTATTTTAATAATACCACTTACGCCGGAACCCAATAACCTATCTCAATCCATTGACCATCTGAAATAAGAATCATAATCCAAATGTTGTAAAAAGTGTGTCAATAACCAATCGACGGATTGTTATAGCCATCTGTCGATACAAGCTTTCAGGAGGTCGGATCGGTGTCTGTGGATAGACCTTTGTATGAAAATGACAGTTGACGAAAGCTCGATTCCAACAGTTAATTATTTTAACAGATTTTAACTTACATCAGTTTTTTAAATAATTAAAAAAGCTGTTTGTTATGTTTTAAACATAGACATGTATATTTTAATGTTATTTATACGGTTTTATTTACTTTATTTGGTTTACATTGACTATCAAATATGAGTGTAAACTCGTTAATATGGAACGACAAAGAGCATTTTGTCCGTCACCAAAAATGGATTGACTTCGTAGGGTTTGGTTATTGGGATGCAGATAGGAGATCGATCGACTGTCACGGAATGACACTTATCTAAGATTGTTTTCAATCTGAGATTGTGGATTAATTATTGGGTTCGGGCGTTAGATAATAAAATAAACACAAGGCTAAGAATGAGCGGGAATAATTATATATTTATGCATATGCTATCTGAAGTGTTTATGGAGAACCCATTATTATAACTGTATAATCGTTTAAAAGCCTGTATGAAAGTAGTAGTTTCGGTCAGTCAAAAATAAAACTTACAAGTTAAAATGCTATGCTTTTATTTACCGTTGTAAATAAAAGCATTCTCATACGAACATGACGACCAAATAAGACAATTTTTTACATCTTCAATAACATTGGAGACAAAAATAAAAAAGTTTAGAGTTACTAACAGTGCTGTGTATAGTTATGCATAGGCATGCACGATATTTTAAAATAACCGACATTTTTTATACTCATTGATAAGGCTAGTTTTGGTCTACTTTTCCCTTAAAATAAATCGCAAAAATACCAAATTTTAAATTAATAAAATGGTTAATTACACGCCGCTACTAAATTGTATACATCCAGCGCTACTTCCCCACAGAATCATCTTGAGTCATCCTATGTCACACAAAATTCCTATAAGTTTGAGTTGCTTTCATCTCTATCAAGTTTTTCGCCTATTTTGTTTTGTCCACTCAATCATTACTTGGTAGTTGTACCATTAGTTTTAAGAAGGACAAACCTTTACGCATTCATATATCTTTGACTAAAATTTGTTGAAAAATTAATTCAAAATTTCATAATAGAATCTATTAGTAGCCTAAAGGCATGCTCATATCCACACAATGGGGATTAATTTCAGACTGTATATTAAAATTTATTTAAACAAGTTAGCATATAATACGGTTGGCGGGGTACATGTGTTCTCGTCGACAGATACGAAAACGGAAAAAAATAACCACATATTATGAACTCGGACAAAAAGGTCCTTTATAAATGGCTGCCCGAAACTCTCGGAGCGTAAAATTTCTGACTCTACCTTGTATGAAAATAATTTATTGCCTTTTTATGCATGTACTTTGTATTTTATTTGATGTTATGTTTGTAATACTCGGTATGGACAAGTTTATAGCATGTTATATGTCAAGATGAAATCTAACAATTACTTTATTTATTTTGTTTATTTTATTTATTTATTTGGGAAACAAAAGATAACTAATATCATATAAGATATAGAGATGTAACAAAACAGATACATATCTATACTAAAAAAAAGTTAAAAATAAAACATAAAATAAACACATTGGATGTATCCACAAAAAGTTTCACTGATAAAAAATATGATACAGAACAAAGCAAAACATAACAATGACAGCACAAAATTTATAAATCCGGAGAACGACAAATATACTGGTAGCTATAATAAAGAAGAAAGATAGAGAGATATGCGAAAAAGGGTCGATGTTAGTGGTAGAATCCAAAGCAGAACACATCCTGTGAAGAGGCTCGCGGAACTTAATGTTGGTGCTGGGAGTCGGAAGGTTAAAAGTTCTGTGCGAGCTTTTCTAACTATTAATAGTTTAGTCGACTAAATAGTATAGAAAACACAAAGAAAATACACAAATTATATAAAATACAATAGTATAATACTTGTGATTCGAGTATTATCTTAATATTTCTATATTCATTAACGAAGTAATGATAATTAAATTATATAAGTATTCAAAATCAAAACTATAAGATAAGTACATGAAACGCTATTCATTAAAACATGTTAATTAAAGAAGGGCGAAGCTTCCCTGTCACAGGTATTTAACCTACTAGGGAGGCCTCAATCTGAACTCTACTATGTATAATAGCTAAAAAATATATATTTTTTCTATTTTCGAAAGTTTTTTTATGTTTACTACTTCATAGTTTGTTTAAATTGCCTCAGAAGTACCTTAATTAGTTAATACACATGGCTTATAATCCCATCCGGATTCAATTTCCGGCAAAATGTTTTTCAAGTTGAAAGACAAATGATAGATAGAGAAGTGGTAATTACTTAAATAAATCAATGGTTCAGGCCTATATTACGATTTGTTTTTACAATATTATTAATATTATAAGTTATTGCTTCTTTACCACACACCTCTATGTTTTAATTATGGTTTCTTCGCAACTACCTTTTTGTATGACTGAGTATTAACTGCTCAGTTTTAATAATAATAAAAATTAATATATAATAAAAATAATAATTTGTTTTCCCCATGTAACATTTACAACAAACAATAAGATTACAGTTGAGAAGGTATTGGGAACTGGTTTCAAAACTAGGTAAAACCTGTATATGGATAACCAGCATTCCACAGCAAAGACATATTGAGTGGTTACAAAAAGTACATACAGATATGGGTAGGCAAACAAATTTAACGTTTTAAATAAGAAAATAAAAACAAAACAAAACAGTCAACTGGTTAGAAGTTAGTAGAAATAAGGTTGTATGGGTGTATGCGAGGGTGTGTGTATGTGAGTGTTGGTGTTTGTGTGTGTTACAAATACTACTAAAGCTGGAAATCCAAATCACACATTCTCAGATTTCACGTATAGCCACTATATTAACACTGCATCTATCTTAAAAATGATCAATAAAGTAGGCACAGAACATGTCTAACCAATGCGGGGCACGAGACTTCAAACATGTTTCATGAATATTTCATAAGAACGTTAGGATTAGAATATATTGTAACCAGAACTATCAATGTACAATGTTATTCCTTCATCAGTCTTATTCAATCTTCACACAATATGAGACTCTTCTGAATTAATTACTTTATGACAAAGAAGTAGTATTCAATTTCTACTTTTCGTTATTAGCTATTTATTTATGTTTAAGGATATCTGGAATACTTTCGGAGATACTAAATTATTTACCTCAATCACCGTACTACCTTGTTGTAATATTACGACTTATTTGTTATTTTATATTTATTTAGATTGTAAATTATTGATATACCGAGAGTTTTTTACGCCGGCTTTTTCTCTCGGCCTACACCCTCTATCTTCTTTGCCGATAAGTCTACCTATTCAAATTTAATGACGTGGAATAAGTGATACCATAAAAAACATATTTTATTTTAATTTTATAATATACAATTTTTAATAAAACATTGTAAAAGTGCACATTCATCGTATAGTTAGTAAATTTGTGATTTTATATATTTTTTATTAAATATTTACGTTATTTTGTTTTTAATAGTATTAACTGCAGGTAAGGTACCTGCTATTATTTAGGTGACCCTATTTAATCCACATATTTAATTGTATTTTACTAGTTATCAATGACCATGTACTTAATGAATAAATTGCGTGTCAGATCAAAACAATGTCAATGTGTACTTGCAAATAAGAAGATTAATTCTAAAATAACCGTCCGGATACCGATACCGGATATTAAAAGTAGAGACTCATATTAAATTGTTGATTCTAATAATAATAATATATTTTATTGGATTTTGCGTGCTATGTTAATATTAATAAGTAAACAAATACAATAAATAAGATTATGTATATTAATTATTTTTTGTTTAATTCTTGAATACGTAAATCAGATCCAAAAATATATGTTGGCCTCTAAACCCGTAAAATTTCGACCCAATCTAAGAAAGTTTAGCTCCAGGGGGACAAATAAAACCTCAAAGACAAAGATCAAACTATGATTTCATTAAATAAATATAATGTTTGTTATAAACTAATACACGATGTTACGCCAAAGACACTCATATTAAGCTAAATTTGCCTAGCTGCTGTCCTGGTTAATGTCCGTACGTGAAGGCTAATTATGTGAGTGACCAGCTCTGATCGAATTAATCTAATAGTCCACAAAGTAATCTATCCAAGCCTGCTCAATCGATATCATTGGCCTTATTTGCATGCAATATGTATTGACGACTAAACATTTCGAGCGCAAAGTGCAAATTCAAAAATAGAACAATTTCATGACTCAGTAAAAATTATACATAGTCTATTGAAATGTTTCATTTTTAGATAGTTAAGATCCCTATACAACGACCTTCACCGAGATGCTTATTTAATGAAACTTATTTTATATTTAATTTAATATGTCAATAAATATAATCCATATGGGTTCCAGAAATTTCAGTCAATATGTTTAATTAATATTTAAAAAAAAATTTTTTTTATAATTTGCATGTAGTAAATTTTTTGAACTTTTTTCAATCAATATTTTTAATCAGGGTATATATATATAATATAACCTTCTTTTATACTAAGATTATATAACTTTATTCACATAAAAATATAAATAAATAATTAATTGATAAAAACAATTTGCATATTTGTATATTCGATTGTATAGAATTTATTAATAATCATACGGTGAAATTTTAAAAAATATTTTTTTAAATTAATTAAACATACTCTGATAAATTTGCTAGGCAACCCATATGGATATATATTAAATTAAATATATAAAAATAATTTCAAAATAAGACTGAAGTCTTGTAAGGATCTTAAAAGGACGCAATTTTATTTATGGACATGTAGGGGGGTTTATTAATTATATTATA